TCCTTTTCTTGTCCAAAAGGGCTTAAAAATACCCTATTTCCCCAAAGATAAGACCTAACCTGAAAATAAGCCCTAGTATGATTTTTCAGCTTGCACGTAATATAGGCCCTACCCCAAAAATAAGCCCGAGTTAAGTGAAACCCCGCCCTCCACCATTGTGCAGCATTGTGCAGCAATCAGATGACATGATTGTAAAACAGAACATCCCCTGAAAATAAGCCCTAACATGTTTTTTGGAGCAAAAATTAATATAAGACCCTGTCTTATTTTCGAGAAAACACAGTAATAGGTAAAGGACAGTGCAAGAAACTAGACAAGGAGGAAGGCCTAGTTTGTGTGTGTGTGTGTGTGTGTGAATAAAATTGATGCTTTGCCTCTCACTCAGAACTGACAAGGAGGAGAGCTAAGGGTGAGTGCATGTTTCTATTGCAGTACCCTGCATACCTCTTCTTTCTCCTCTTCTGCTGCAGGAAAATATGCACCGAATCTAGTTTTCCTCAGTGCACATTTCGTATTGATGTGGCAGTGAATTTTATTCCCATTCTTTGTTTCAAGGCAGGTGGCCTTGGTTGTGGAGGAAAGACTGAAGTGTTTTGGTGAAGGAGAAAACCTACAGCCTTGGGCCCAGTGTTATCCTTTTCTCAGAGGTTTCACAGAATCCATCTTACTCTCTGAAAAAATAGTGCTAGTAGCAATAGCCCAAGAGCAGGAAAAGGAAGAGGAGTTTGTCTACATGAGAACACCAAAGAGGAGCCTGGCTTCTTCCCTGTTGTATAGACGGGAGAGCAGGACCAGGATAGGTGGCTATCAAGGAAGGGGAGCCATTTTCCATGCCACCCACATATTTTATACCACAAGATTTGGAGAAGCACCAGTCTTAGGAAAGCTGATTTAGTGAAATGAGCTAGCTCTAAAACCAACATTTAAAATTGTCTTGTTTCACATGAACAGAAGTGAAGACTGACTAGAGTTCATCTAGGCTTGAAGAGAACAAGAAATCATGACTTGTGTGGGAAGGCTGATGTAGAGAAATAAAAAGAGGACTGGGACCTCTCAGGACCATCCAGCTCTTGGTTTTGAAACATCCGAGGGAGAACTTGTAGGGAGTGAAATGGGTTCTCTCACATAGCACCAAGCGGAGCTTAGTGGGAGCTGTAATAGTCTTGAACTTCTTTCTGCCACCAGAATATAAACTTTCTACAGGTTGTTGGGACAGTAACTGCAAAGATAAACTTCCACCAGTTGACTTTCAAGTTCAACCAACAATTTCTCCTTTAATTTGATTAACTGTAAATAAAAATCAGTGGAATATGGCTTTGCTCACACACAGTAGCACTAGAAGCACTAAAAATACTATAACCATTAGGAAGGATACTATTTTTAAAAAACAGATATAGGTCTTGACGAAGGGCTGTGAAGGATTCCTCAGCCGAGATGCACTTTTATCTTAGGGTTGACCTCGAGGTCAAGAATAACAGATTATATCCAGTAGCACAAGCCCAAATAACCTTTGGCATCCCAGTGAGTCAAGATCCCATAAGGGGACTTGTACATGCTTGTAGTACAGCCTCATAAATGCCAGGTTTGAGAGAGAAAAAATCAATTGGAACCCTTTCATATCCTTACTCTCCTCTTTGTTTCTTCTGTACTTCATGTGGAGAGAACACTGGAGGATGCTGGGATAAAAAAGACCCAGGTTGATGACATTATGCTTGTGGGAGGCTCCACTCGTATCCCAAAGATCCAGAAGATTCAAATTTCTTTAATGGGACGGACTTGTGCAGGGTCATCAACCCAGACGAGGCTGTGGCTCATGGGGCGGCTGTTCAAGCTGCTGTCTTGACTGGCCACAGGTACCAAAATATACAGAATCTTCTCCTGTTGGATGTGACGCCTCTTTCCTTAGGCCTGGAGACAGTAGGAGGCATAATGTTGTGGTCAAGTGTAATTCTCCCATCCCAATAAAGGAGATGAGAAACTTTTCCACCACAGAAGATAATCAAAGCAGCCTTTTCTTGCAGATCTATGAAGGAGAGTGCATCCTGACAAAACACAACCGGCTCCTTGGAACAGTTACTCTGACTGGCCTCCAACCTGCACCATGTTGTGTACCAGTCATTGTGATCACCTTTCAACTTGACCAAAACAATATTCTGACTGTTTCTGCCATGGAAAGGAATACAGGCAATTCCAACCAGCTCACCATCACAGACACCAGCAGCCGGCTGGACAGAGAAGAGATGGAGCAGATCATACATGAGGAGGAAGAGTACAGAGCCCAACAGAAGACAGAACAAGAGAAGATTGAAGCCCTGAACTCTTTAGAATCCAGCACTCTCCAGCTAAAGAGGGTTGCCGTGCAGGAGAAGTTCCTGGATGACCGGGCCAAGAGGAGGGTGCTAGAAATGTGTGAGGAGACCATGGCATGGATGGAAGGCAACCAGCTTGCTCTGAAGAAAGAGTACGGGCAACGGAAGAGAGAACTGGAAGACATCTGCTACTTTATGATCACGCATTTTAGATGGAGAGAAACCTTGAGATGTTTTGGGCTGTGGGAAGTAGAACTCTACTTCTAGGTAGGCTGTGAAGCACATTAAAAAAAAAGAGTGTAAATGAAAGAATTCAGGTTGCAAGGAAAGTGGCTGTGGTGAAAGAGTGGGTGATTGCCCCAGTATTGGCCCATTCAGTTTCAAAAAGGTTCCCTTGGCATCTGGGGCTGCAGGCAAAGGAGTCTGGGACTCCAAACACAAGCCTATTTTGCATTAAATTCTTTTCATCTGAGCTAGAAAGAAATCTGAGAAGTTTGGTAAATTCTTACAAAAAATATCTGAAACAAAATTGCCAGCCGTCACTAAAAGCTCTTACCAATCTTATCCATAAATGCCAACAGCATTGGGTGGGATGAGCCCTGATGTCTGACGCAGGATGGTGACAAGGGAGGGAGGGAGGGATCCATAAAGAGCAGAACAAGCGAGCTGGCATCACCAGCACAGTTTCCTATCAGCTACAAATTATCATGCGTGCTGTTTCTCTCAGCAGTAATAGGCTTTAATCACTGTGAAGTCATTTGACTTCCCTGTACCATGGTTTGGCTTTAATTAATGACCACTTACGGGAAAGGGGCTCTTCAAGGGTGGGATTTTTTTTCCTTCCACCCCCCGCCCTCCCCTTTTTTTGGGCCTTCCAGAAGATGAATAACATTTGGAGAGGCTCTCACAGAGGCTGCCAGCAATATGGCTGGCTGGAAGGTCTCCAAGGGGCTGGGTGGAGTCGGTGTCCTCAGTGCAGACTGGAACCACTACAAAAGGAAGTGCAGGATTCTGGAGGTGCCAGGGGTTGCTCATTAGAGAGGTGCATCTGCACAGATGCAGGAAAAGGGGTCAGGATGTGGCCTTAGTGGCAGAATTCAGCACCCAAAGAATGGCCGCTCTTTGCTTTTCTGCAGCTTATTTCTAGACCTTTGGGCTGTGTTTGTTTTTGTTTTTGTTTACACAAGACCGTAGTCCTCATTGTTGCCTTGCTTTGGAGGAAAAAAAATCAGCTTGTCATGAGGCAGACCTTCTGTCTGTAGGATTTGAGCTGCATGGCCTCACCCTCTGTCCCCATATCTACCTTTCATGCTGTGACTGGTGACAAGGGATAGGTGGTTATTTGCTTGTTCGTGTTGGTGGCTGAGGCACCAGTGATGGATGGCCCCAATGTTCTCTGTCAGCAGTGACAGAGTCCTTTCAAAGAATCCCTTTGTTTCTCTTTTTGTGGCAAAATAGTGCCCTGCCTCTCAGAACTGATCCTGAAAATGGGAGTCAGGATGACATGGCAAGAAAACCTGAAGCGCAGCATGACTCACACATGTGTCTTCCGTGGTGGTGAGAATTCTCTTGCTAGCAGTGACGGGGCTTCCGAGGGAGGCCGGGTGACCCACTTTGTTGTAGAGCAGAGGAATCTGTATCTGTGGGAGCCTGTGTCAGGGGCAGGGCAAGGATGCCGAAACGCTCTTGAGACATCAATGCCAAGTGGGCCAAAGCATGGGATGGGAGATGGATGGAAGGAAGGATGGCCATGGCCCTCCCAGCACCATGCTCTGACAGTCCATGACCCTTCCATGGCCCCCTTCTCCAGATGGGTGGGCCTCCCGAGGCAAGAGATTTATAATGGCCAGAGGGAAGCCAGGCGCCTGCTTGGGGGTCACTGAAGCATGCTGTTGAATCAACAAGGGGCCGGGCTTGTTAAATTCCTCCAGAGGGCTCTCACTGGCACAGCAATTGGGGGCAGTGGCTGGATAGGACCGAGGGGAACGAGCTGAAGAGGAGCACCACGGAAGCAGCCTTTTCCCAAGTTGCATGCTGGTGGTTGCTTCAATGGGTGTGTTCTGTCATAGACTGGCTTTTGACTAAGAAGAGGAGTTATCCCTCCTATTTTCTATGACAGAGTGAAGAGAAAGTAGGAGGGAGGGAGGGAGGAAACAAACAAACAAACAAACAGACGGGCAAGTTCAAGTTCTTCACAGCTCATCTGCTTCTGGTCACTCTCAGGTATTCTTTTGGGGCTGGAATTGTGGTGCCTTTCAAACCCTTAAGCTTTCCTATAAATCTGCTTATGCATCCTTTTTTTTTCCTGCAAGGAAGCCCCCACTCATTTCAGCAAGGGTTGACCAGCCATGTTGGAGAGCTTGGGAACACTGGGGCTAGAGCTTCTGTGTTACCGTTAAACCGTCTGATGGGCTCATTTATCAGTGTTCAACCCTTTATTATTATTATTATTATTAATTTGATTTATACCCCACCTATCTGGACCACCGGACCACTCTAGGTGGCTTT